TTCAACTTCCAACAGAACCTACAAACTACAATCGTTCAGAAATGAAAACATAAAGCACTGTAGAAGGACTCGGCATTCAAATCAAGATACTTCATTTCTCTATCCATCAGGTAAGTAGTTCACACACTCAAAACACAATCAAGACCACAGAGGAGTATAAAAGAAACCCATAATAAGTATTAATAACCCCAACATGACAATCAATACCATGCACACATACATGAGCATCCCGTAGTTGCACGTCACTTACCTGAGTGGCCTGAGCTTCGAGATGAGTAGAACTCACCCCCTTCTCATATGATCTTCCTGACCCCTGTAATGCTACCCCTACACTAGTGTCCTATGTCCCAGGAGGGTCTGACTCCAACACCCAAGTGCAACGCCGGATCCCCCGCCGATGTTGAAGAACAAAGTAGCAACTTGCAGTCCGTAGTTACTGAATGGCTGCTGTTCCTCAAGCTCGCCTACTTGAGGGAAGCCCTAAAGTCGCCAAGCGTCTCCCTTGAATCAGATTCCCGGTGTGAGTGCCTCTCATTGTCGCCTCTCTCAAATTGTTGCATCAAGTCTCCACGAAATGTATTGCTACCCCAAACTTATTCTCAAACAACCTGGTTAGGTCCAGCGTCAACCCAACACAACCTAACCAGGTGGGGGCAGCTTCCCTTAGCCACGCTGCCCCACTTCCCTCAAAACCAACCCTTACCCTAAGTGGTGCCCTCTACCACTTAGGTTGGGGTTAGGGCAGCTAAGTCAACTCTCGCCAGCAAGTAGAATCCGCTCCGATACCGATGTTATGATCCTGGCCAATTTCGACGAACAGAAAGTACAATGCCGTCCAATTGCAAAAAGAAATGAATGAACTTGAGAGGAGAGAGGGAAAGAAGAAGAAGAAGAAGAAGAAGAAAGAAAGAAGAAGATGATGTACACCAGGATAGATCAATGATAATGCTCTTCTTCTTCGCCGACCACTCTCCTCCTCATCTCCTCACCGAAATGATAATAATTATGTTGAATGGCTGAACCAGAATCAATGTCTGAATCCTTCTTCTATTGCAGGTATCATATGAGGTCTACCATAGCCATGGCACCCTTCTTCCTCTTCTCGAAGGCCTAGGCTATGGCGGACTGTTAGGGCCTTGCCCTGATGTGTAGAAGACAACTCAAGCAGCTATGGCTGCTCTAGCTCAGGCCGCCATGCCTGACTCTGCCGCCCATAGCAAGGTAAGTACCTCTGGCGCTCCTCCCTCCTAGTCCTGGTCTTCTTTCTCCTTCTGTCCTTGCTCCTCCCCAGCAGCGCTGCTCCTTGCTAGCACTGCTCCAGCCAGCGCTCCAACCAGTGTGTCACCAAACTTGCACACCGATAATGAGGAGGAACACTTTGCTTCTCCTGGAGATATAGCGGCCTACTTGCCTCTTGGCGAGTGACTTCCCCGGCCGCGCGGCTTCCAAGCAACCGGTACCTCCTCCCTTTCGGAGGGAAACATCATTGCAGACTCTGATATTGACCGTACAGGCCCTAGACTCAGACTGGTTGGACTGGTACCCGCCTAGACCTAGCCTACAACTATTGGGCCTCTAAAAAGGCCAACTTTTGTCTTCTTCTGCTCGGCCTCGAGTACCCGGCACATCTACCTCTTCGTGTGGTTACAGCCTACTTGCTGCCTGAGTGTTTTTCCACTGCTTGAAGTGTCGCGGTTTCCCGCCAGTGTTTTCCCCACTGCAACCCTCAATGTCACGGCCACAGGCAAGTACCAGCCCTTCGGGCCCTCTGAACGAACAAGTGCCCTTGCGGGTCACACACACACTCAAGCCGACAAGCACTCAGACAGGCATGCAGACCACCAAGCGTGTACACACACAGACTTGGAAAACTCGGCAACAAGCAGGAAACTCAGCAAGGCAGTCATTCCATGAGCAAAACTCAGAAATCACTGTGTGTCTCCGTCCGTGTTTGGCAGGGTCATTACAACATTCCATAAATGGCACCAAAGGTGAACCCAAAGATGAGAACTGTCAGAAACAAGGACCGCACATCCCTCCTTGTCTCTCTCTCTCTCTCTCTCTCTCTCTCTCTCTCTCTCTCTCTCTCTCTCTCTCTCTCTCTCTCTCTCTC